TGTGAAGAGCGGGGGTCTCTATTTATAGAGGTGAATTCTGACAGGGCTTTCGACAATGTTCCAACGACTTTATGACATTTTGGAAAATTGCGACGCATTGTCCGAGAACATCACGTTGTCTTTGCGCCTATTGGTGTTCTTCAAGGTAGTTTGATAGGACACATGTAGATCTACTCGGCTAACAATTGTCGAGCTAAAGAGACTCATGTCCATCAAGAAGTTAGAATCTCTTTGCTATTTTATATATGTCAATTACCATTTAGCTATGCTCACTTTTGCACACACTTAACATTTAYTTTTTTATACAAAACTTTTGAGGATTTTTTACACCTTTCTCCATAACATTAATAAATCACTTCCATAAATTTTAGTGGACAATATATATATTTTTTCATAATAATAAAGTACTATATCATACCAAAGTACTCTCAAACATACTTTAGTCATCAATTATGTCAAATTTCTTGAATTTAGTCACATTTAATTTCTTTTGTCTCGAGAAAATATTTTTCAAATATAATGGTAAAAAATGTGTATATATATATATATATATATATATATATATATATATATTACACGCTTCTAAATTCTTTCAAAAAAACTGTTATATTTTCGTAATTAGCTATAGAAACTGTATGTAACAATAACTATTAAAATAATGGATACAAAAATAAATCTCCTGTGAAATTTGGTTCTCGAACGAGACAAAATCCCCCACGAATGCAAGCATACGGTTATTTCTTAAAAGTTGGTACTAAATAGCAAATAATGGGGTATATTTATTTTTTGAATATCTCTAAATAATAATGTAAGAATATTTATCTCTTTATCATTCGGCACCTACTTTTACTAATTGTCTATAAAAATTTTATAAGTAAGAACGATAGATTCTTAAAAGGAACAAAATTACTTTTTATATATTTCAAAAAATTAATAATTTATTAAAATTTTATTAGTGACCAACACAAAAATAAGTGCGATCAACCAATTTTTGATAGTATAGTAAAAATAATAATAATAATGTACCCTAAACGCAAGTTTGGCTGYCACTTTTCTTTCCCTTGGCGTATGTTGGTTATGGTTTAAATCCACTACCGTTTTGTGGCTATGGTTGTGGACATTAAAAAGTTGCCTCTTATTTTCTATTATTATTTATTTTTATAAAGATGAAAGTTGCCTTTTGACGTACACGTAGCACGTAAATATATTCATATACAAAACCAAACCAAGTGCCTACTGCCTCGTGATATTAATATCCAATCCCTATCCAAAGCTTCCTAACATTGTTATCCAAAACAAATAAATTATTCTTTATTCATGTATTTAGAAACGCATTTGATTTTCTTTAATTCTTCTAGATTTTGGTTAGATATCCTTAAAGTATTTCAATCCATCGGTTGGATTCTGTGTGTTTATATTTAATATGGCACTAGAGCTAAAAAACTCAATCGAATATCTGGTTAAAAAATAGGATCCGACCACAATCGATGAGTCAAGATAGTCACAATCTTGATGAGACATGTTAAGAGACCTTAGAAAGGTATAGACATGGGTTGGGCTACTCCCCTTTGAGATGTAACCCTTTGAATATTAATATGGTATCAGGGTAGGAGGTGTTGTGAGTGCACATTGTTGTTTTCTCCTCAATTATTGTTGATTTCCATTTGTTGGGTATTGTACAAATTATCAAGTCCACGAGCGAGGGAGAGCATTAGATATCCAATAAGTGATTAAATTTACCTTAACTCATCGGATTAAGCTTTGATGTTCATTGATAGTTCATTCATCTTTAATATATATTTCCCAACACTTTAGTATCTATCTCTAACTAAAAGATCACAAGTTCGAATATCCACTCCCCTGTACGGAAGATTTAAAAAAAAAAAATCAGCTAAGTTTTTCACTTTTCTTAAACACATGTCTGAAAATTATTATTTTCATGCCTTATTTTGGTAGGAATTCGAACATAGTATTTTCTTTTAGTACATAGGACCTTCTACTCTAATACCATCTTAGATATGTTTAATTATCAATTAACTCAAAAGCTTAAACGGCTGGATTATGTAAATTTTTATAGAATATATAACACTATTTTATAGCAAAATCACATTTTTATTTTCTATAAATTAAGTTTGTTTTTTCGTAATTTCTTTGATATGTTTTTTACTACTTTTAGAAGAATTATTAGCTAAATTACAAAAACATAAAAAAAAAAAAAAAATCTTTTCAGTTTTCAAATTTTGACTTAATTTTGAAAATGTTTTATAAAAAATTAAACAACAAAATAAAGAAAAGTTTCTTGTGTTTATAAGTTTAATTTTTAAAAATAAAAAATAGAAAACAAAATAGTTATCCAACTAGATTTAATTTTCAAATTTTGGTTGAGATCTTGAAAACTTTTTTAAATAATAGATATCAAAACAGAGTAACACATATAAGGAGTTGTACTTATAAGCTTAATTTTTAAAATTAAAAAATAAAATAAAAGTTTTGTCATAATAATAGGTGGGATGAAAGATTTGAACCTCTGACTATATGTTCAGAATGACCGCTACTCAGAGATCTTAATCAATCCAAGATAATTTTAAATATTTTATCAAATTAAACTATAAATTTTAAAGGATGAACAACCCACTTAATTTAAATTATTCATCTCAAAAATATTAATTTTGAGTTAATTTAATAAATTAAAGAGTTTTATTCTTTATTCTACACCTCTCTTAATAATAAAAAGAAAATTTTTAAACTTATACATTCTACTTGTTTGGTAGTTGGTGGTAAGGTAACATATTAAAGGTAGCAGATTTGTTGCCAAATTGCCAGCCACTAGACGTGCCACAATGATCAATCTACATCCAACGCCACAAGTTTATTATATAAATAAAACTACTTACATTTTAAAAGAGGAAAATCTTGAAAAGGACTAGGCTCAAGTTATCATTATTTTATTTATATATTGGCTACTTTATGTTAAAAATATTGAATTTACCTTAATTGATTAAACCATAATTTTTGTTCAGGTTCGATTTAACCCGGTATCAAAATAGATCATTTTAAATTTAAATTTTGATAAATACTATTTATTCCTCAATCAATTCAATAGTTCATTTAAGGAATAGAGTAATAATATTTGAGTGGAAGAGTAACAAGAATACAATTAAAATAATTGTATAAAAGTACTACAAATATTTTATATTATAAGTAATTTGGTTGAAAATGAAGTTTTTTTTTTTACATGTATATTTAAATTACGAAGATAGAGTTTTTTTTAGTACAACATGTTGGGGAGGGGATTCGAACTCACAACCTATTGGTTAGAGATACATGTCCTCGCTTTGACAAATTACGAGGACCAAAATATTTTTTTTTCCTTTTGAGAAGTTTAAAGTAGTTATTCCATCCATTTTTTTAGCCATACTTAAAACTTATAATCCATGAGTTAATTTTTTGAGCGATAAATTATATTTCCACAAATTAAAAAAAAAAATATATATATATATATATATATATATATATCTTTTTTTAAATTTTATCTTAATGATTTGATTATATATGCTAAAGATTTCCAACAGAAATTTCTATTTTCTAAAAATTGCTGAGTTGGGCTCATAGTGGACCGTAACCCCATGTTCGCTGCATAGGCCCATGAAAGCGCTGAAAAGTTGTAATGATAGCAATTTCTTAAGAATATTTACAATATAACCAATTAATTAATTAAATTATGTAGTATAATTGAACGAGATGAGATTAGTTCAGCAGTAATTGATATATGTCTCAGATCAAGAAATCATGAATTCGAATCTCCCATTCACTTATTGTATTAAAAAAGAACTCATCAATTGCTCAATAAAAAGAAAAAAAAAAAACATCATCAAGACGTTAAGCTCCCTCCACCCGTGCATACTTGGAAATTAGATGCGGATGCATCTTGGTTGGAAAATTTACAGCGAGGTGGCTTTGGATGGATGCTACGAAACTGGAGTGGTGAAATTGTTATTGTTGGATGTACTTGTGTTCGGGAGAAGAGGAGCATCAAATTCTATGAAGCTATTGTTATTCAGATTTGGGTATCATGACGCTCGAAATTGATGAGAATAGAGTTTGCGACTCTGGTTCTTTCAATGAAGTGCACTTTATTATTTTTTTGTTTAATATTATTATTAAAGTAAACTATAAAATGTTAAAGGAAGAAAAGTAAAAAAATTAAGGTCATCATTTTTACTATAACTTTCAATTTCATCGACCTTAAATTTAGATAAGTTTGACAAATTTTACCTTAAACTTAAATTAAGTATTACAATTTTTATTTTTCGAAAAGCTACGTTTGAAGAACCATAAAAGAAAAAACACATATTTTCATGTGTGTGGTTAGTAAATTATAAAATATATATCTTGTATGAAATGAATGAGACTTTTTTTATCTAGAGTTATTTTATTTGTAATTTATGAGTTATGAGAAAATTATTCAATATCAATCTTGTATTCGATGACTTAACTATGCGACAAATTTGATTTTGATTGAAATTAACAAGTTTGGATAGATTTCCCTCTTGATACTTATTAAAATTAGTAAAAATTGAATAAAAGGTAAAAATTATATATTTGTCTAAACCTAAGGTTGAATTTTATGAAATTGATAACTTTGGTTGTGAACTCTCAGACAAAAATGAATCGTATTCTCTAAAATTGTATGATCAAAATTTAGATCTAATAACCATTTTGCAGTATTCCGTGTATTTATTAAAATGTAAACCGCATCTTAAAAATAAAAATAGTTAGTTTTTAAAAGCTTATTTTTATTCCTAAAACTTAAAGAGTTTTTCTTTTGTTTTTAAGAAAAAGTAAAAACATATTAAATAAATTATGCATAACTTTATGGTTAGTAGAGAACGTCGTATTTTTACCACATTTGAAGTAGATTAATTAGAGATAAATTATGAGTCGGATGAAATTACAAAATAAAAAATGAAAGAGTTATGGAAGGCGAAAATATAATACAATTACGAAAAAACCGTATCCATGGAGCTGAAATACACCGAAGGCCCAGATATACGGTAACGGTAACACGTAACACTAAGCAGAGGGAAAAGGGAGAAAGTCGACACGTAGTTTCGGTGGTTTCTTTCCATCGTCAAGGCGTGCCGTGATTTCGCTATGGAATTTCTACTCATATGCACGGAGGAAGAATAGGAAGCTGAAGAAGAGGATGGTGCTCGGTTTCAGCATTCAAGCCGTATTGGATTTGGTCGTCGCCGGGATTTCTCTCGTCATCGGTTTGGGAATTTTCGCCCTTATTGCTTCCATTCTTTGCTCTGCCGCTTTCCTGCAGAGTGCCAAGGATGTCTCCTAATCCGCTGTCCGATCGGAGGTACACTCTTCTGATCTTCTCAATTTTCATCTTAAGCTCGAATCGTAACCGTGTCCGATTTGGTTCATCGTCTGTTTGATCTGAATCTTGGACCCTAGCTTTAATTCGACCTGTACTTTAGCCTGTCTGTTGTTTAATTAGTAAAAAAAATGGAAAGTTAGACTCGATTGCTTGTTTGCTGTTCTTCCTCTTTCGAATTTCACCGTATTTTTCCCGGGAAGATCAATTTCTTCGGTGATTAAAGCCTGCTAGATGAGAAGGACGGGAATAGCAAGAAAAAGGTCGGACTCAACGCAATTGATTTGTGTAATCTGTATTTAATTTTTCTTTTTCTTTCTCGAATACACCATTCCACGGATTCCATCCGGATCCGCGACGAAACCTAAAGGCCTGTAGAACCCTAGCACGCGAGGCTCCGAATACAATGCGATATTGGAAATTCCTCTGCGCAGCAGGTCCTCGATTATCCTCTCCATCACTGCCTTCCCGAGACCAAGCCCTTGGAAGGAAGGGTCCACCACCACATCCCATATAATCGCGTTGAACACGCCGTCGCCTGTAGCTCTAGCGAACGCCACCGGCCGCTGCGTTTTACTGTATTGGATCCACAGCAACGCGTCCGTGTTCTCCAATGCCGTCCTGATCTTATCCGGATCGCGTTTGGGGAATCCGACGGCCGCGAAGACCGAGTTCAGGTGGTCGAGGTTGAGGTCGGAGACGGTGCGGTGAAGGACGAATCCTCGGGACTCGAGGTCCTTGTCGGAGACGCTGTAGCTAGCATTGGCCGGCGACGATTGAGCGGAGACGGAAACGACGACATTCCGGGGATGGGCGGAGATGGTACTATTGAGGCGAACGGAGCAGGAGAAAGGGACGGAGCTGATTCCAGGCAGTAGCATTGCTTGAGGAAGAAGAAGAAGGAGCAATAGGGTTCGTGAAGGAAGGTTACCTGAAAGTTTTGGTTCATGTAAGCGACGCCATGGAAGTGAGTTTAGCCTTTAGAAATGCTTGGAACTTGTGGTGGTAATGGAGGCTTCGTATGTAAGATCCACAGCAGTCGTTTGGAATGGGAAGGCTTTTTTGCTTTCGATGGATAAGTGGGCCTCCTGTTTCGGACGTAGAAGCCAGAATCACTGTAAATTCTCAATCTGCATAATTTAGATGTTTAAATTGATTTTGTTTGAATTTAAAACCTTATGTCTTAACCGCTAAACTATGTTTATATTGGTGTATATTTAACGTATTTAGTTTAATTGTGCTATTAGTTTTTGATAATATGTGTATTAGGAGACCTATTTTACCATTAGGATCTTTAAAATGTTTATGAAACATAGTAATTTTCTTCACAAAAGAAAAGTAGATTGCAAACAGTTAACTCTGAGTAAGATCTTATATTCTCTTCAATTAGAGAATTGAATCTCTACCCCACAAATTATCCATGGTTTCTAAACTTTACCCTTTTAATTTGAAGTAATAATGGGTAAAAAGTGTTCAACTGATTAACGTATATACCTCTTGATCAGAGGTTTGAATTTTCACTCAAATATGTTGTTGAAATTAAAATAAAGAAAAAAAGTAACATTAACGGTAAATGGTTCAATCAAATTATTGCGAAGTACCTCGAAATCTTTGAAGCCGACAATTTATTTCATCAGTTTCTGCCAAATATTAAGTTGAGCAGAATAGGTTACAGGCAATGTCGGGTTGTTTGGCTTGGAAGGTCTTGTTGAGTTGTGAACTCTACACTCATACGCTTGCATCACCTTCAAGTAATTGAATTATCTCACTCAATCTATCCGAGTCTAGCACATGTTCCAGAAAAAAATATATATATATAAAAACTGATTTAGCCGAAAATTTGCACCTATTCTAAAGGCAATTAAGATTTAAGAGTGGAAATTTTGAACTTTTGATGAATTTTCTTACATCAATTGGTTTCTTCTATAATTGAGCCTGCAACTTAAAGATCGATGCAAGGAATAACCCATGATTCAAGGGGGGGAATGACCATTTATTATAGTTTTGCTTTGCAGTATGCAAGCCAATATGTCAGCTTCAACGAATCAATCAACCCACCCACAGCCATACCATGAAGACACAGAGAAAAAGACAGACGAAAGCCAAAGTTGGTTAATGTTTTTAAGGATTGATTTCTTTGATTATTACCACCAATGTCGTTTGGTGACTTGCTCTAATTTTTTTTAATCCTTATACAGCCAATGGGGTTAACTTTTCTCTCTGTGTTCTTTTTTGGGTTTCGTTTGGGAAGACCCAACAACCAGACCAATATTAGTAGTTGCATCCTCTTTTGACCCCAAGACATGTCCATTCAAAACACTCAAACGCAGCCATGCAAGAAAGCTGCTAAAAGTGCTACCTTTAAGCTTTAACAACATTACCAATCTCAAATCCTTCCTGTATAAAAGTTTGATGGGCATTGCCAATTGCCATCTCTCCTCCCACTCAAGAAAAAGTTGTGCAAAAAGATGGCAATCTCAAATCTCTCTCACAGTCACAGCTTGGTTCATGGACTGATGATGCTTTGTATTTTTTTCGTTCTATGCCACTGCTTGGTTGCGACAGGTGACCCCCCATTGACGTTGGATTACTATGCCAAAACTTGTCCCAATGTGTTGCAGGTTGTGAGGAAAGAGATAGAATGTGCAGTGCTTTCTGACCCACGTAATGCTGCTTTTCTTGTCCGCTTGCACTTCCACGACTGCTTCGTCCAGGTTCATCTCCACATCCAATTCACCTTCTTTGTCATACAAAAATATCTTATTTCTCCGTCGCTTAAATTAGTTACCGAGTTCAATTTTGTATCTAATAAATCTATGAAGTTTTAACTTTGTATCTATAATCTTTGATCTATTCGATGTTTCTGACTCAAAATTGAAAGTAGAAATATGTTAGACACAAAATTGGATGTTTAATAACTTATTAGACATAGTCTAAATTTATAAGTTAAAGGCTTTTCCATATCAGAGTTTGTAACTTGAAATTTATGGCCCCAGTCCTGGTTAACTTTTTGAATGACCCAAGCCTGCTTTTGACTGGTCATGATTTAGACATTTGTAGTTCARTTTCTCTGTCTTTTAACGTTTTGCCATTGTTCAGGCGTTCAAGTTTTATTCCTGATTTCTGATGCACTTGGGAATTCTGAACTACTTTGTGTGGATTGAGTTTTGTTTCTTTATAATTGAAGTTGTGCAAATCAAAATAATTGTTAGTGTTTGGAATAGGGATGCGATGGGTCGGTTCTACTGGACGACACAATAACATTACAGGGAGAGAAAGAAGCTCCCACCAACAAACACTCCCTCCAAGGCTTCACAATCATTGACAGGATAAAGAATTACCTTGAATCAGAATGTCCTCGGATTGTTTCTTGTGCAGATATACTCACTATTGCAGCTAGGGATGCAGTGATTCTGGTAAATATTAACTCCAAATCTAAGCCAAATTTTAGAAACTAAAATAAAGATTCGAGCACGAGGAAGAAACTTATAATATCGTACTCATGGTTATTTTGGCCAATTTATCTTCCAATATGCTAGTTTCAACAATTCTCTTTCTTTACATTTCTTCTTAGCTGCTTGGCCTGCAGTAGGTATCTGGTTCACGTTCACCGCGCATTATGACTTTCAACTTAAATGGTTTCAATTTCAACCAATCTGTAGTTGATAGTCAAGGTTGTGTAATTAATACTTGGGCTGATATTATTAACCGTGCTAATCTTGGTATGAAAGTTATGCATGAACGTAGTGCTCACAACTTCCCTCTAGACCTAGTTGTTGTTGAAGTTCCATCTATCAATGGATATGACTTCAGCTTTAGTGTGTGGGAGGATTTGGTCATGGAGATGGGGAAATAATCCTCTTGTTTTTTGTTTTTGAAATTTGGCGAAGAATTCAAATGTTTCTTTACTAACTTAGTAAAGAAATGACGGAGAAGAAAATTGAAAACAAAATAGTTATTAGCTAGAGCCAAAATTTTTGTGTGTTAATTCACTAAAACCATAAGCAGATTTACTTTGATTTCGAAACAGGCTATTGGTAATTTCATCTACATCTAAATGATGAATCGTTGAGCAGAAACATATCATTGTTCTTAGAAGTTAGATTTTGGATATGAAATCATTCGTGAGTTTCAAAATATTCAACGATGGAATTGATTGTTTTGAAGGTGGGCGGACCTTATTGGGATGTTCCTCTGGGAAGAAAGGATTCCACAACTGCGAGTTATGAACTTGCAGAAACAAATCTTCCCACCGCCAATGAGGGGCTTCTCAGCATCATCTCCAAATTTCTTTATCAGGGTTTCTCTGTCACTGACATGGTAGCGCTATCAGGTATTATAGATCTCTAAATTTGATTAATTTTATATCTAGTAGATCCAGGGCATTCACGCCACCAACTTTAACGTTTACGTGGCATGCTGACTAGCTAGTGACTATATTATATGAAGATTACGTGACGGGAGTTCAAGTGTTTAATAGTGTGAGTGATAAATTAATAAAATTATCGATAAATATCTATTAGACACAAAATTAAAAGTTTAGAGGTTAATTAGATAAATTTCGGGATCTATTAATTTTTTTTTTCAAAATATAGAGACTAAAACACAAACTAGAATGTCTTTCACTAGCCAAGTTATAAAAGCTATAAAAAAAAATGATTTTAGAAACATGCTTTTATCTTGAAAACGAACAASTAATCAAAACTATTATCTAATGGGACCTGCCACGAGTTATTTATATAACTTAAGATGTATATATTCCGCTAATTCAGCAACTTTTTGTATTAAAAATAGACCCAATTTAAATGGAGAGAAAACAAAAGATTCTCCACAGTCTGCCATGTACTATTCCGACGGCAACAATTTAAATTTTTTTACTCTATGTCAGAGGCTACCTTAATGGAAGTCATGATATTTTCTACCGTAGATGAAATTAAAATATTTAGCAATCATAAGATTTAAAATCCCTAAAAATATAACATGACTGTCAGATGTTATTAGCACACTTCTTGAAAGTCCTACCTTGACATAATATTATTTGCTATGGACAACCGATATCTTCCTATTTCAACAATGATAATGATATCGTCTACCTTGCTCCTGTGGGGCAGCTCGGTTGGTATGGATTTGTAGTCTCTTGGCCATACTGGTTTAGAGGTTTTGTGAACTTAATACAAAAAATGTTTAATATCTCTTGAATCTGGGCCTTGGGATAGTCGCATATGCGCCTGAGTATAGGGGAGGAAATGATACCGTCAACCTTGGGCTACTTTTGGTGATTTATGAATGTTGGACTTTGGTTGCACTCTCAACAATTATTAAGGTGATTTATGACTTCGTCTTTGTAGGAGCGCACACCATTGGAATGGCGAGGTGTGAGAATTTCAGGGCAAGGATTTATGGGGATTTTGCAGCAACTTCTAATGCTTACAATCCAATTTCCAAGCCATATCTTGAGAAGTTGAGGTCTGTTTGCCCCCCAGTTGGGAAAGCTGCAGATAATAACATAACAGCAATGGACAACGTGACACCAGAGCTCTTTGACAACTCCTATTTCCACATCTTGATGAGAGGAGAAGGGATTTTGAATTCAGACCAGGAATTGTATTCCAGCCTTCTGGGAATTGAAACCAGGAATCTGGTGAAGAAATATGCTGCAGACCCACTTGCTTTCTTCCAGCAATTCTCTGATTCCATGGTGAAGTTGGGAAATATCACCAATTCTGATAGCTTTTTCACTGGGGAAGTCAGGAAAAACTGCAGGTTTATCAACACCTAGAACAAGGGAAAAATCATTGTCGTGTTTCTAATTTCTATAAAGGAATAATAATTCTAAACTACACTTTTATAAAATGATCATTTTGCAAATTGTTTGTGTGGGTGCGACCATTGTTAACGCATAGGAGTTTTATCTACAGTGCAGGCAAATCACAAGGTATATGATTTTTTTAATTTGTTTCTTGTTATGTTTTGTATTCTTGGATTTGAATGGAGAAACTTTGTCAGAGTTTGGAATGTCAAAAATTAATGAATATCTAAAGCTTCGACTTTCATTGGTTTGCAATGAAATCAACCTTTTGAACTAGAAGGAAAAGAAAAAAGAAAAAAGAACTTGAAAGTGGGGTTATTTTAGTCCACACTGCAAATAATTTGATTTGATTTCTCTTTCTGAATCAGTCAAGAATCATAATGGGTGAGAGTTCCACCCAAACAAGCCCTCTGGTACACCCATATTTCAAAATTACATTAAATATGATTTTTAGAATTATAGTCAAAGGAAATAAAATAATTTGAAACTTTGAGAGGTTGAAATAAATTTCTTTGAAAAATATCAACATGTCGCCCATTTCTGGAGAGAAATGCCAAAAAAAAGATAGAGAGAGAGAGAGAGGGAGAACTTTTATGTTTTTAAAAAAATCAAAGAGTTTTTAAATTTTGAATGGCTAACTAAAAAAAATATTAGGAAACATAAATGAGAACGTTGAATAAATGATAYATACATGAAAAATTTAGTCAACCATATTTAAGCAATGTTTGAATAGTTTGCTTCAATATTAATTATCTTAATTTGATTCTTAAGTACATAATGTTCTTTGAAATAAAATAAGACGTATTTATAATTTAATTGAGAAAAATGGACGAAGACTAAATCCAAAGAAACATAATGTGGTTGTGACTTTTTGGGAGTATATTCTCTTCAATCCCCAAAAAAGTCTAGCTGTTAATTGATTCAATTGTACCTTCCACTTCACTTAAGGCTTGTAATTTCAATTCCCCCTTCCCTCTTTGCTTGTAGTAACAGGATTGTTCTATGAATAATTCAAAATTTGTTAGGTAAACAAACATAATGAAGTTGAATTAGATAATAGAACCATAGATTAATTCTAAATATATTCAAGATTATGGATTTCTTTAATAAAAAGTGAAAATAAAACTAGGGTAGTTTTAAAAGTAACGATTAAATAAGGTTGATAAATTGTAGGGATCGATGCGATTTGCATAAATCATGGGCATTCTACACTATTTTCCTACAATTGTCGACGTTCCATAGGATTATAATGTTGGCACCTGTTAGCTATGTGGAAATCATGCATGTATTGTATTTTAATTATCTGTTTCTTTTTTTTTCATTTTTCTCTCTTCCTCCCTTACTCGCTAACGAGCATAACATAATGTTAAATTTATCTTCCTCACTGTGGTGGTTTGGTCCAGGCTTCCAGCACTTGTAAAAAGGAGAAGAGAAACGCAAATAAACTTCTTTTTAAGGGGTGAGAATTCGAATTCATAACCTTTTGGTCAGTGCCTCAACCTCGTGTTATAGAGTAGTTAAACATTAAAATCAATATTTTAAATTTATTAAAATAAAATAAATATTCTAAAAATCCTCAATTAAATCACGAGCAAATTTAGTAAATTTTGTAACTAGCTTGAAGAAAAATACTTTAATGTTAAGATTTTTTTTTTATTTAAACTACATTTTAAAAATATTTATTTTTAGTCCAAGGAGCCTAGCAAGTATCAACCGGTCAAGATATATTTTCCCAATTAAAAGAGTTGAGTTTAAATCTCTACCTCTATATATTGTTATACTAGAATATATGGATTTTTTTACTTCAATAGAATTGGGTTTCAATTTTAGAAATAAATAAATCTAAAATATTTTTAGATTTATTTATTTCTAAAATTGAAACCCAATTCTATAGAAATAAAAAAATCCCCGATTTGATTGTGGAGGAGACAAGGGGGAACTTTATTTTTTCTCTCCAACTTTATTTCTTTTAGAAATAGGTGTTAATTACTGTTAAACTATATTTATATCTACAAGTCAAATCAATTGTTTTTTTTTTATTTATTGTTTCTCGTTTCTTTCTTTTGAAAAAAATAAGAAACAAAATTGCATTTGGTAATTATTTATTATTTCATGTTTTTTTCTTTTTCACAAAAAGAAAAGAAAAGAAATAGAAATATGTTTAATAACTCTTTCATATTTCTTGGCTTCTAAATTTTAAAATAACAAATGTAAAAATTTTACATGAAAATTAAATATTCATTTTTTTAATGTTATACTGGCTTTTTATATATATTTTACATTTTATAAGTAAAAAATGTAAAGTAATATTTTTATCTATGCTATTGAATTTTTTTTTAACATAAACAAAAATAAGAAACTCATTTCGTTGTTTTTAAATCTCTTACACAATTTTAGAAACGTTTGTAGAAATAGAAAATTGAAGTGNAACAGGATTTTGTCTGTTCAATCGGAGTTATCCCAACACTCATAACATTACTGATTATTTCACCTTTTCAAATGTGAAGCTGTCATTACCCCAAAACTAGGCGTGGTCAAATGGATAAAGTGTTGGAAATTTATGAGCAAGCCAAGGCCAAGCACTACAGCTTATAAAGTGGTTGTGAAGTCAATATTTTGGTTTAAGTTTAGGAAAAATGCAAAATTTGACTGTTTCTTTCCCATTAAAGGAGGGAAACCAGCCCTCTATATTTTCTTCCTCCATATTTATCTTTCAACTTTTAAGAAATACAACATTAACCTGTCAATATATAACTTTTTTCCTTCAATTAATATGGTATCTTTCTTCACAAAATTTAAATATTCTATAAATGAATATGAAGAATAAATTAGTAGGCACGTACGCATTTTTTCCATCCATGTTCTTAAATAACAGGAAAATTTTAAAATTTTGTGAATATAATTATAGTTCAATTGGTCAAGGCATTACGGAGATTGACTATAAAAAAGAAATCTATTGAATTTAATTATGAAAATAGATTACATGCTAATTAACAATTATAGTGAGTTCGTGATGGGTAATTGGCATAAATATAAAATCAAGTGGTCATAAGTTCGAACCCTATGAGTAGAAATTAATGTAACAAATGAATGATTATTTGATACGGATTTTTTCACTGTAAAATTAATAACTTGAATTATACCAAAGAACTATGGGTGAAACCATTAATAAATTATGAAAATTCAACTAATAAAACATACCAAGCACAAAGAATTACTCAAAATAAATGTAAAGGACTAAAGGTATCTATAAATATTAAGGGGAAAAAACTAATCTATCCAGCATGACTCTAAAATTCAATATCCAGAAATTTATATTATTTATGAATAAAAATGCTCATAATTTGCTACAATAAAATTTAAAAAAAAAAAAGACTTGAACTTATCACAAATGGTTAAGATAGATATAACTTCTTATGGTAGGGATTTAAATTTTCATGGGGGCACGTAGATGATAGTTCCAAATGTATCGTCCTGATCCCTTTTTCAAATAAACTACCATAAATATTGAATTATATATATATATATATATATATAATTCAATATTTGTGATTTTAGTAAAACACGTGACGGTGTAGATTTGCATTCATAACTTCTTTGTCGAAGATAAGCTATAAGTTGATAGATTAAATATTTACGATTACATCAAACGAATCCATACGAAAGATTACTATCACAACCTCGTTGGCGCCTTAGATGGTAGTGATTGAAATCACGACTCGACTTGAATCATGATACTAAAAAACTAAAAAAGATAAAAGAATTTTGAATTATCATGGTAATTCTGATTTGAGTTATTGAAATTTGAAACAAAATAAATAAATGCAGGATTTTGATTTAAAAAAGAGAACGAAGTGAAGGAGAAGCGCATGGGATCTCGATCTAATTGAAATTTCCTTCTTGTTGGGATGTTGTTCTCGCTTTGCGGGAAGATCTTCATAATATTAATTAATTACGCGAAACAAATGTTAAATTTCTGAAAATCAAAATTGAAGAAGCAAATATCAGAAATTAATTTCGTAAAAAAAAGAATGGATATAAATTAAATACCCTTCTCCCAGTTTTCCTCTCCTCTGAAGTCCCTTTCTGGCGAGAGCGTCTGCAGATTCTCTGGAATTCGCACTTCCCAAAACTTAAAAAAAAGAAAAGGGAAAAAGGGAAAAGAGAGAGGGAAAAAATCCCACAAAATCGAGCTGCTTCTTTGTTTCTATACCTGGAAACTGGAGCGAAAAAGAAACATTATATAACCGACCTTACAGGATGAAAATGGCCAGCCTTCTAAGCTGCGGCTGTGCTCACTTCTGACCCATTTTGATCACAAAACTCACTCTCACCCGGTGAGTGTTCTCGAATCAATGCCACGCCTATTGCCTGGGCACTGATCTTTTTTCTTCTTCTTTTTGTTTTCAATAGTAAATTCCGGTATTGTTGTCTTCGTTGGCCTGATTCATGGATGGTGATTTGTTTGCCAATGGGTTCTTCTCTGTTTTCTTTTTTAGCCTGTCCGGTACTCGGGGGGTACATTCTTCGTAGTTGAACGAGTGGTTGTAAGTTTCAGCAGAGCCATTAGTCCTTGGTGCGATTTTGTTTTCTGGGACGTTCGTTTTTTGCGATTTTTTTTTTCTGGGTGATTCTTACTGTGATTTGTTTCGACGTATATTTATCATTGGAGGGGGGAAGTCTGTAATTGTTGTTTCATTGTGGCTGTATTAGTTGTTTGATTGGATTTTACTGGATTGCATTTTGATTGCTCTGTTTCGTTTGAATGTGGTTCCGGTGAAGCAAGTGCGGGGTAAAGCAATTGACATAGCTTTTGACATTCTTTACTTTATTAACTTGTTTTGGGAGAATTGTACAATTCAACGACAACCGTGCATTTTATTCTTCTTGACCTTGAGAAGATAAGTCGAATAACTTGCCGTCATTTTTTATGGACGAAACTTTTTTGTTTACCGTTTATCAACGATGTGCTCTCGTGCGATGTGTTTAGGTGCTTCATTTATTTTTTTCATGAAGTTTTGTTATATTTCCTGAATTTCGTCTCAATCATTTTTCTGTGACTGGAAAAAGTACTTGTATGAATAATGCTCGAGATTCCCCAGTGGAAAAATAGAAGAAATATTCAAGATGGATGAATGAGAAGTATTTACCTTTATTGAAGACAATCTTTTTTCTTTTCCACTTTTCACTGTCGTATTATTCTTTGCCCGGAATGTCATTTTGCAGTTCCGCATATTGTACCATCTTTCTTCATTTAGCTTATGTTGTTATTACAAAATTCTGATACGCATAAATAAATTTGTAGCAATACTCTATGATGCAGTACTCTGTCATTTTGCATGGAGATTGATTCTTTTGGACAGAAGTACTCTATAATACGGTTATTTCCTCGCACATGAAGTGTTTCTCATGATTGCTTTCTTTGTCTTGGTCATTCACAGATCTATTTATATTGCTGCATCTTTGTGAGAAAAGTAGCACCTCAGCTTAATGGCTCAAGATCATTCTGGTTCTGAATCTCATCAGAAGCGGGCTGGTCTATTGAAAGACCAAGTGAGATTGGTTAAGAGAAAGGATTCTGATCGTTTTGAAATTGTTTCAATCCAAGATCCCTTGTCATTTGAGAAAGGATTCTTCGTAGTTATTCGAGCTTGCCAGCTATTAGCTCAGAAGAATGAAGGAATAATATTGGTGGGTTTAGCTGGTCCTTCTGGGGCTGGAAAAACAGTTTTTACAGAAAAGATTATGAACTTTATGCCCAGTATTGCTATCATATCAATGGACGATTATAATGATGCAAGTCGAATTGTTGATGGCAACTTTGATGGTAATCACTTTTACTTTCTTTAGTTTCTGGTGAACTATCCTGCAGATGCCTCATTAATGATGTTCTAAGTAACACTTGACAAGGAAATCAAGTGGTTCTTCAACATTGTTGAGAAATATGCTTATTACTTTTCTTCAGCACATGATTGAATTGGCATAGGTTCCTGAGCTCTGTTTAAGATGGAATATGGAGAAATAATTTTGTTGTAAAAGGGAAGCTATTTGTGTGACTTCATGAATATGATACAAAAAGGGCACCTATAAAGGATTCCTTTGTGGAGTTAAAAACAATTTTTGGAAAACAAATTAGTCCTAGTGATTTTTGGTATGATACTAGAGCTGGTAATTGCTTTGCATGATTGTTTTATGAACTATGAATATCTTTGGTGTAAAGTATATGTGTCAGCATTTATTGTAACAATGTCAAATGTTAGTTTGATAGATAATTATTTTCAAAATGCATTATTCTTGTAAGTGGTTTATTGGAAAAATGTCATTTTATGTTTTCCACAAAGTTCAACTTGTGCTTGGGAAAGGTAGTGGTGATTTTCTTGTAACTATACAGCCAATTTGAAATTATCAGCTGGTTGACATTATTATTTACTTGTCCGTTTGTCAAAATAGGCTGGAAAATTTAATTTGGGATGTATGATTAAAACTTTAAGCACTTTCCCTGTCACTATATTTCAGATCCACGCTTGACAGACTATGACACGTTGCTCCAGAATGTCCAAGATTTGAAGGCAGGGAAGCAAGTACAGGTCCCTATTTATGATTTCAAATCTAGTTCCAGAACTGGATACAGGTTGGTTGATCTTCTTAAATATACCAGCTTAGTTTTTAGTATAAAACATAACATACATTAAGTGGCAAGAAGGTCCAATTTGAACTTATCATGATTATTGCCTTTGTAGTTATATCTTGTGTTAGTTTATGAAAGTTAGTCTGATTTTACACACTCACACAAAATGAGGTCTTTCTGCTACTTCAAAATTAGAAGGCTTCAATTTTTGCTCCTTGATATTTGAAGCCTGAAAAAAAAAAAGAAAAAAACCCCGCACATATTTACAACATTTTGTTCTTTATTTCCATTACAGGACAGTTGAGGCTCCAAGCTCAAAGATTGTGATCATCGAGGGCATTTATGCTTTAAGTGAAAGGTTGCGGCCCCTGTTGGACCTTCGAGTATCTGTTAGAGGTGGAGTGCACTTTGACCTTGTGAAACGGGTGTTACGTGACATCCAACGTGCTGGCCAAGAACCAGAAGAAATAATTCATCAAATTTCTGAAACAGTTTGTTCTCTCCTGCTAAGCATTTTATTATGTTATCTCCAGAGTTATCATGTAAATCTCTTTTTCCTGCAGGTTTATCCAATGTACAAGGCTTTTATTGAACCAGATCTTGAAACTGCGCATATAAAGATCATAAACAAATTTAATCCCTTTACTGGATTTCAAAGTCCCACTTACATATTGAAGGTTATTCCTTTCGCCCTTACGTTTTTTAGGTACTAGTATCAAGAATTACCAAAAGTCATTTTGGCTGGAAACTTCTTCTACATTGACAGCTCGCTTTCACTTTGTCATTTTAGTCAGCAAGAAAGATAACTGTGGATCAAATTAAGGCTGTGGTATCTGAAGATCATACAGAACATAAGGAGCAAACTTATGACATATATCTGTTGCCACCAGGTGAAGATCCGGAGTCTTGTCAATCATATCTAAGGATGCGCAATAAAGAAGGAAAATACAGTCTCATGTTTGAGGTTGTCCACTTAGTACTTTCTTGTGTTCTTGGCTTTATCTTAGCATTTGCCACTTGTTGTGACCAAGATGTTGGGGAATTCATGGATCATAAAAACTGCATGTGTATGATACGGAATGCTTGTTAACCACACGTTGAGACATATAGCTTAAATACTTTTGGATTATTTTCCCAGTCTTCTGCTTTTTTACAAGTAAAAAACAAGTTGATATGGAGTTTAGCTATGGTTCCTGATATAATCCTAAATCCATGTCTTAAATTTTCTAACGTGGCCAATCTAGTTACTTGGTGTCTGCTCTGTAGGTTGCGTCTGGTTACTGATCATCTCTTCAAATTTGTTAGCTAATATGCATTCAGTAGGGTGACTTTAATTTAGAAAATAAGTACTTCCTGGACATGCCTCTCTCACGAGGTACTGTCTGTAAATGTTTCAAGACAAAATGGTGTGAGTGCATTGAAAGATGTGTTATGTTATGTTCTCCGATTAAATAATTCTTTATTTCATTTGTCCAGTCCAGTCTGAATTTTTGCCTATGTATGTGAAGCTCTTAAGTACACTCGTTGATCATAAAGCTATATATGATATGTGAATTGATCCGATGCCCCAATAACGAAAATAAATCTATTTGCATATGTTGATCAGCAGTTTTTTCTTGAATACAATATCATTGCTCTATCAGAATGTTGTAGGAGAAACTATGTAGCAGTGATCTTCTCTTCCTTTATTCTGGTTAGACTCCATATTGCATTTATCATTCAGTGATTATGGAAACTACGGGGATTATCATCTAATACCTGTGAATTGATGTTGCGTGGGTATAATGCAATATTCTTGAATCTGATCATTTTGTATAGGTGTTGTTTAAACATAAGGTTATTTACAAAACCAAAGGAAAAAGAAAAAAAATAATTGAGGAACTGGTGTCAATTTAATCTCATGTATTTCGTTTTGAGGACAACTGACTAGCATTTATTGAACTTTCACTTTATCCTTCCTTACAGGAATGGGTTACAGATAATCCATTTATCATATCTCCAAGAATAACTTTTGAGGTCAGTGTGCGCCTTCTAGGTGGGTTGATGGCCTTAGGATACACAATAGCAACAATTCTTAAAAGAAGCAGCCATGTATTCTCAGATCACAGAGTGTGTGTGAAAATTGATTGGCTGGAACAATTAAACCGCCAGAACGTTCAGGTACTTGAACATTATTGTTATCTTGTTGTGTCATTCTATCATTACTTGATACTCGTTCCAGTTGACCATATGGCTCTTTACTTTTTTCCTTGTTCTCAATAATCTAGCATCCTGCTTGTTGATGAATATCAAATTCTTCCTTTTTTTCCCCCTTCTTTTGCTTGAGTAGTATCTGAATTATTCATTAGGTAAATTAAGTGAATGACAATGACATAAGTTTTACTTCTTTAGGCTGCAAATTTTTTTTTCACCATCAATCATGCAAGTTACTATTTCGTTCATCTTTAAGTTTTTACAGGTTTTCTGATGACCTCAGCCTTGTTAAATGAAACTCTTTCCAAAAAATCTTAATGGTAGAGAAGCAGCTAAGCTGTCCTATTTTCTTCTATCGTTAAATATCCTTTCATTTTTTGTCTGATAGAAGAATTTCAATAACATGATTTGTCAGGCTAACACTAACAGCCCACCAATAAAAATAAAAATAAATGCCAATGTTTTTAAAAATAAAATTATTATTTTGATTGAGGTGCTGCAATTAGGAAGAATTGTAGCCTGCAATTGTTGCAAGGCCCTAATATCTGTTCCCTCCCTCAAAGATGACTTCATCTGTATAATAGCATGTGCAGTTATCAGTCTTTACATTGTCCTCTTATATTCTTCTCTCATGGAGTAAAGTAATTTTTTGATTTTCGTGGATTGTTTACAAGGAAGAATACAATAAAGACAATACTTTTGGCCACTTGACATAAAGGAGCTAACAAATTTCTGAGAGTAAAATTTGATTAGAGAGCGCAATGTTTGGGTTATTTCCTTTTCTGGCTTCTCGGATATCCATTTTGATCAATTCAATAGTAGTGGTGATTGGCACTTCGGATTGAATTATTTATATGTAGTTTTGCTGTCTTAGAATTAGGACTTCTAGACAACTTTCTTACTGTAGTGTAGACTATAGTAATAAAACTTTGTTCCTATCAAAATAATAACAACAATAAACTAGTAGAACGGATTTGGATGACTTTGATGAAGATCGATGGTTTTTCATTAATTGCCGATTGCCTCATTGGCATTTGTGGCTTTCCATGTCAAGTATTGAGCTTCTCACTTCTTGGTGAAATAGGTACAAGGAAAAGATCGCCTAGTTGTAAAATTTGTGGCCGAGCAGCTGGGCTTAGATGGTTCTTACATTCCTCGTACCTATATTGAACAGATTCAACTGGAAAAGCTTGTAAATGAGGTCATGGTATGAAATCTGCATACACCCTGATTTACATGTATTCAATTCTTTGTCATGATCAGATCATTCCACAGGCCTTGCCAGATGATTTAAGGACGAAACTAAGTCTTGACGAGGATTTAGTTTCAAGCCCCAAAGAAGCACTCTCAAGAGCCTCTGCTGATAGAGTTACCTTGAGAAATAGGAATCTCAAAAGGTTAGAATTTCGTGGTTCAAGTGTTTTATTAGCCATTTGAGGCATAAGGCTCATAGGCGAGCCAACAAGACAAACTGTGACTTTTTCTAGAATATTATATCAAAACTATGGAGTTCGAACTTACGACCTGGTATCTTAACCATAGAACCATGCGTAATTGGCGAAAAGCTCTGAAATTTTAACTTAGACAACTGTTTAATATAAGAATGATAAACTAAAAAATTATGAAGGCTTGCACGGGGGGGTGTGGATGGAAGAAGATTTGTGAATTTAGCAATAATGCTCAATAACAAATCACTTTGACATTAAGCATGCTTTTGAAGTGTTCGTGATCAAACACTCACCAAAAGATCTCCCTTACATAGCCCTTAAATCCCCCATCAAAATGTTGGTTGCTATGACTGATTGGCCGAGACTTTTATTGAGCAGTGGCATATCTCAGTCATATACAACTCAAAGGGAGAAAAAGATGACAGGATATGCTTCCAACAACCAAAGATTTATCGACAGAAACACAGAATCCCCAGCAATGCTTGCAAACCAGGTAGATCCACAATCATGATATCCACTGTTGTCTGGCTTATAGAAAAATGAGTATTCAAACGTATTGATCGTCCTGTTTAAACCATTGGTAGGGAGTCATTACTCAGCTTTCTGAACAAATTTCATCACTAAATGATCGGATGGATGAGTTTACAGCTCGAATTGAGGAGTTGAATTCAAAGTTGAGCATCAAGAGGAGTTCCCCCAGTCAACAGAACATGAATCTCCAAACGGACACATGTAACGGCTCTGTGCCAACTTCTTATTTCATTTCTGGATTGGGTAATGGTTCCTTGACCGGATCCATCATACCTAATTCTTCATCTTTCTCCCAGTTAGCGAAGGAATCTCCTTTAATGGATGAGGTAAATGGCTCAGCTCAGCTGTCATTCTGTAATTTCTGTCCACAGACAATATGTTTATGACTCTCCCTGGCTTCTTGATCTCTGATCAGATATCAGGAATCGTGAGGGGGCAGCGACAAGTCATGCACCAATTGGATTGCCTTAGCAATCTTCTCCGGGAGCGCGAAAGCGTGGGGGAGAGGCCCCGTCAAGTAAGATCAAAGAAGAAAATCATAATGCCCAATCCTGAGCCTCTTACACTTCCTCTTTTGTTAACTCTAGCTGTGGGTGGTGTAGGAATCTGCTTGTACAAGAGCTTTTTAAGTCGCAACTGATTCCCCATCCCTCAACTAATTCACAGATTTAGATGTTTTTCATCCTTTTTTTTTTCTTTTTATTATTATCTCTCCGCTTCGGTTTCCACAAATTGTGTTGCAGTTATCACCCTTCGGCGCGGGAAGGACGGTCGGGTAATTTTAACAACTGACTGGTAATGTTTAGAGATTCTGGAGGCAGAGCTTCTAAGGTTCTCTTTGAGTTCGATTTCAGGAGGGTGTAATAAACTACTTCTTTCAGTTTGTGGAAATGCTCATTCATTTCAGTTTATTTATGAGAATTGAAAAGTCATTCTCTAGTTTAAAGCTTCTTTTATTTTTTCATTCATTAACCACACACATTCCCGTTGGCTTATGGTTTTTGGTAATTYATTTTCATTCATCTTTAACAATTCATTTCATTAAGAGTTGATTTAGTTAAATTTTTCTTGAACATGTTGATTTAGCTCAAATTAACTTTTGCTAATTTGATGTATCTGATTCATATTGGGAGCCAATATTATGATTATGGCTTTGAATTGTAATATCTTATATCTCAATATTGTTTTATTATAAAATCATTCGACACATATTAGTATAGTTACTGTTATCATGTGCTTCATGAGTGTGATCACAAACATTCTGATTATCTTCTTTTATAGAATTACAGATTCAAATATTGTCTTCTATAATATATCTTTTTAAAACGTCGTAGAAATTCTATGGAATGGGAAAATATCTTTAAATTTAAAATGAATTTGATAGAGTTAAATTTTGATATATGCAATTGAAAACATAAAATATAGTTCTAGCATTATGAAGTTTGATACACACTACAGTAGTTTAATAACAAATGTTTTAAAATAATTTTTATGTAATGTTACATTTGAAAATTTGGAAGTATAAGAATTGAAATATAATAAGTACGTGAGTTTAGATTATAAACTTAAATTCAAATATAATTGTTTTAAAATGTTGATGGAATTGATAAAACCACTCCTATTTCAAAAAAAAAAAAATGATAAACCATTCTGACAAAATTAAATAATTTAAAACCAGCAGATTATTCCAATCTACATTAAACACGATGTTTATTGTCTCAAAAAAAAAACACGATATTTCTAATATTTTCATATTTGAAGTAAATTTAAAATTTGGAAATTGGATTTCTAGAACTAGTATTTTGTGTAACTAAAAATTTACTTTATTATTATTATTATTATTATTAAGCTTATAATTTAATCAATAACAATTTTAACATTCATGATTCTACCTATGAATACTTGTATTTTTGTAGTTACATTTAGATTGTTAAATTACCCTCATTTGTGTTAGTTCTTAAAGTGAACCTCTCATTTAACTACTCTTTCCATCAACTGAGTTTGTCCACCGCTTTCTCTGTCTATCTTTTTTTAATCTCTAATTTATTTTAATAATTTGATTTAATTTGTAAAAATATGTGTAGGTTTAGTTATTTAGACGTAATAATTTCTAAGGTTTATATACCATTTTCATTTTTATACCTTCGAAACTTCAATTTTTGTTAATTTTAGTTAAATATATGCGTTTTTATTTTTATCTCATTTCTTTCCATTATAATTGCAGCGTGACAATTCTCTTGGGGCTAAATTTCTTACAAATTTCTATTAAAGAGTTTATATAAAATCTGTGTTAAAATTTTGTAAATAAATACAAAAAAAATATAACATTTTATACCTAATTTCAATTAGAAAAATGTTGATTTTCGAGTTACACCGAACGGGGTCGCTGTCACTCAACAGAATCCCCTGCCACTGCCCACTCCTCAAGGAAAACTTTTGCGTATGTTTTCCATTTTCCTCAGTTTCCTGTTTACACCGTCCTCTCTCCGATCCTTCTCGAACAGAGAGCAGCAGACGACGGCAACGGCGCTTTTCCGCCTCCTCTCTCTCCTCCGGTGTGTTTTGATCGTTTTCTCGCCGATGGGTTTTATGATTTGTAGTCGTCAGTTTCTTGGTTCCGGAATCAAACTGCATTTCTTGGTCTGATTTTGGAAGTAGCGTGTTCCTTTCAACTTTGTACCTTTTTGTTTACAACACCCAACTTCAATCGACCCTTTCTCGATTTGTTTCTTACTTTACGGATTGGTTGGTTCTGTAATTCGTGTATGGTTTCTGGAAATTCTTTGCTTTTGTTTGATTTCAATTTCCTATGTTCCGTTTACTATATGAAATGCCGGATTTTAATTACTGTGTTCTTTCAGTTTCTCATCATATTTTAGCCTCAATTTCAGGTTATCTGGATTTTTGTGAGTGAAATTGATTAATGGATGACCTTTTGGGTGTGGATCATTTAAGCGATCTGCCTCAGAGTATTATAGAATGCATTCTCACTAGGTTACCAATTCGAGATGCCATAAGAACAAGTATTTTATCCAGGAGATGGAGATTCAAGTGGGCCACTCTGACTCAACTTGTGTTTGATGATGATTGTGTAGCCATGTCCARCGATGGAGTTTATGACGACCTGATATATTTTATTACTCATGTTCTTTTTCTTCATGAAGGTCCAATCCACAAGTTCCATCTCTCTGCTACCTACTTACAGAATACCCCAGATTTAGATCAGTGGATGCTTTTCCTTTCAAGGAAGGGCATCAGGGAATTGACGATTGAATTAGGAGAAGGCGAGTGGTTTAGGGTGCATTCTTGTCTTTTTAACTGTAGCAAGTTGACCCGATTGGAGCTATATCGCTGTGAATTGGATCCGCCTCCTAATTTCAAAGGATTTTTATGTTTGAAAAGCCTAAAACTTCACCAAGTTCTGATTGCCCCAGAAGACATTGAAAGTTTAATTTCTAATTGTCCACTTCTTGAGAGTCTGGCGCTGTCCTACTTTGACAGTCTAGTGCTTAATATCTCTGCTCCAAATCTCAAGTACCTCTTTCTTGAAGGCGAGTTTCGAGACATATGTCTTCAAAACACACCACTCTTGGTTGCAATTTCAGTTGCATTATATATGAGTGACGATGCTGAGCCCTTTGACCATAGTTCTGATTGCAATTTTGAAAAGTTTCTTGGTGGTGTACCTTATCTTGAGAAACTTACTGGGCATATTTATTTCACCAAGGTACGGCGGTTTGATTTATTTTTTCATTTGATGATCTGTGTCTTTGTTGCATAGCAATTAAATGTGATTCTTATATTCCTACCCCCTCCCCCAAAAGTACCTGAGTATAGGTAATAGTGCGACAACTCTGCCAGTTTCATATATCTATTTAAGAAGCATTGAACTGTATCAAGTCAGTTTTGAAGATATGAATGAAATACTTGTTGTGCTTCGCTTGATTACCAGCGCTCCGAATTTGGAGGAGCTTCAAATTTCGGTAATGTGCCTTTTTCCGTTCCTCCTACTTTTCTGTGTTGTTCTGTTCTTGAATCAGTGTGAATCTTAAGTTATATTTAGAATAACTTGTGAATGGTAACATCATTTTTTACACATTGCTGTCAAACAGGGCTCCTCAAACCCTGTGGCTGCCTCAGAAGCACCTGACTTGGACTTTTGGGAGAATGAATGTCCTTCAAACGGTACATTTGGTAACCTTAGAGTTGTGAAAACGACAGATATGTCTGGCGTACCACACGAGATGGAATTTATTAAATATTTGCTTAGAAATTCTCCGATGCTTGAGACAATGAGTATCAAACCTTGTGTCTATGTTACAGATCGACGATTGAATATGTTGATTGAATTGTTGAAATTTAGGAGGGCTTCACCAGAAGCAGAAATTTTATTCATCCCAGAATAGTTGTTGTAGTTGGAAAGTTCCTTTATCATTTTCTACCTGCATTTCTATATAATTTTCTTTAGTAAATAGATGGCTCTTTAATTGCTTTTATTGATACCGCTTGTTGAAATCGAAAACAAATGGTACGACTACAACCCACTTCTATCATGATTGTTTAAATGATCTGCGAAATTTCTTCTCTAGCCATTCTGTCTTGTCTTCGGTAAGATTTCTTTTAGAAACATCATTTGCAACCATCAACTCTGTACTGCCACTTACTTTCTCACAAGGTTGAGTTTGAGTGTCTCCTTTGAATAGTTTTAGAAACTACCTTATATCATTGTATGGTATGGGTGACAGCAGAGAAAATTCTTTCAAAATATTGGATCAGTAGAGAAACCCTCACTTCTCTGGTGAATGGTTTTTAAGTTAAAACTCCTTGAACTAACAAGAGTATTTACTGAGCATGCTGTTTTAGTTTTTTCAATCTGTTTGATAATTTTTATTGCAGAACCAAAGCTGGTTGAGGCTTTCTTTCCTTTATTAGTAAAGGGGGCGCGGGACGTTCGCGGTCAGACTTTGGTAATTGTATGAGAATCATTGAGTACAATATATCAGACCGGGGTTTTGTAATAACCATAGTCGGTCTCCTTTAGAGATTGAATTGCCAGAAAACTGCAGGAGCGAAATTCAATCCAGTATTACTACTCCGAGCATGAGAACTCGGACTGTACAATTATACTGAGTTATCTTATCTCCACCAACACAGGAGCCTCAACATGAGGCTGCCATATGACAGATTCACTTTGATATTAATGTCTCATTCTGTAGGGAAATACATGCAGGGATTCGTTGTATGGAACAAAGAAAAACTATATATTCATCATCTCGGTCCTGAAAGCTCCATGGCTTGTGCAAGCAATGAAGAATCATCGGTAAGATCCAAATATCGCTCGGAAGAGGAGAATTCGTTGACTCTGTACCTGTTTGCATCTGCCCTCTGGGAAGCTTCCCATTTCTCCGCAAGTCCATCCCCTTCAAGCATCCTGACCACTTCAGACATCTTGGGTCTGGTGGTTGGAAGATACTGTGTGCACAAAAGAGCTACTTGAACCATTTCCTCGAGCTCGATTCGGTCGTAATTGCTCCTTAAATCCTTGTCAACTAGGATTTCAAGCTTCTTTTCTTGGTGAATTTTCTTCACCTGCAGTTAACAGAAGAAAAAACAGTGACCTTCTTCAGTCAGACAGCAGATATGAATGAGTGAAATCATGAGAGAGTTGATATTTTCGGCTCACCCAATCGAGCATGGCTCCTTTCTGGTTTGCAGCTTTTCCGAACTCGAGAGCTCTCTGGCCAGTGATCAACTCAAGAAGAAGGATTCCAAATCCAAAGACATCAGTTTTCTCAGAGGATTGGCCAGTGGAGAGATACTCAGGAGCTATATGGCCAACAGTTCCTCGTACAGCAGTGGTGACATGTGAATCTCTGTGATCCAAAAGCTTTGCCAATCCAAAATCTCCCACCACAGCATCGCAATAATCATCAAGCAATATATTTGCAGCCTTCACATCTCTGTGAATAATCTTAGGGTCACACTGTTCATGCAAATACAGTAGGCCCCTTGCTGCACCCAATGCTATTCTCTTCCTCGTGCTCCAATCCAGAGCTGGCTTCGCTGTTCACGGAGAAAAACAAATCAGAATTGAAACGTAAACGTTAACACGACCGTAATGTTGTCGTGTCGTACCTTTTAGACGGGATGCAACACTGCCGTTGGACATATAGGGGTAAACTAACAGTCTCTCTGTGGTTGTCATACAGAACCCGTAGAGACGTAGGAGGTTACGGTGCACGGCTAGGCTGATCATCTCGACTTCGGTCTGGAATTGGATCTCTCCTCTCATTGCATTTCCATCTTTCAGCCTCTTCACTGCTATGATTGTACCATCTTGAAGGTACCCTTTGTAAACGTTTCCAAACCCGCCTTTTCCCACCAAGTGTTTGCTGCTGAAGTTGTTTGTGGCTGCTTGAAGCTCTCTGAACTGGAAAATTCTTAGGTTCCCAAGGCAAACTTCCTCAAATCGTTGGTCTGAAAAAGGAAAAAGCACGGTGTAATAAGGGTGATTATTGAGTAATTAAAATCATTTGGATGAATTAAGATATGTGATGACAAACCATTAACATCGAAGAAAATTTGCTGGTTATGTCTTTGCCTCCACCAAATAAAGAAGCCGAACCCTGAAGTTAGCAGAAAAACGCATCCGAGGCTTGAGCCAAAAGCCAAGGCTAATTCGTGGCCCTTCGATCTCCCAGAAGGTTGAGGATCTTAATCGTAAACAGAAGGGGAAAAAAAAAGAGTTAAAACTTAAATTAGATGGTTATTAAGAGAGTGATTATATTTGATAGGCTAAGAGTGTGTTTGGGAGTGATTTTGGCCTAACTAAAATATTTTTGTCATTGTCAAAATCACTTTCCTTTTTATTTATCATGTTTGACAAATTAAAAAATTGACTTAAAATYGATTTTTAAAGTATCACTAAGCAAGTGATTTTTGAAAATCAATTATACTTAAATTTCTTTCTTCAAAATCACTAATTCTACCACCACTCTCAAACAAACCCTAAACCTACGTTGAAAATTGTTTATTTATCCATTAAAAAAAAGTTTTATTTAACATTTTCCAATTATATCTTTTAAGTTGGTGAATGTCAAAATTAATTTAAACGAGGAATTGTATTAAGAGAAAAAAAGTCTAAATTTAAGCAATTATTCAGAAATTTATAGGAGAAATTACCAACTTTCTTACATAATTTACAAACTCACTAAAGTATTATGTCACTGAGTTTATCATTAACTAATTTTAACMTTCACTCGYGGAAATAACATAATTGAAAAATGTTAAATATATTTTGCTTATTTGATACTATTTACAACACAGCTCTTAGAAAAGGAAAAGGGAAAAGAWAAAAGCATGATGAAGTCTAAAGATGAGTCAAAAAAGTTGATGGATGGACATTGCGAAATGGCAACATAAGTTATGTTTGAGGAAAGAAAAAGACATGATTTTTGCTAAGTTTGAATTTGGGTCAAAACAGGAACAGGAAAGAGAGTGGGAAATTTGCTTACTTTGAGGATTATTGACTGCAAATAAAACAGGAGGAGCAGTTCCATTGCACCTATGCTCCAACCCAGTTGAGCAAATCAGTGTATTCCCAGCCAGACTTCGTAAATTCAACCATAAAATAATATCAATAATCTTTAAACCAAAACCCTTTAAATATCATAAATTTTTTAGTTACAAAAAAAAAAGTTAAAATTATGTATAACTTCGTCCCTATTTTATTATAATTATGTCTAGTAGATCCGTAAACTTTTATGATTATGTTTAGTATGTCTCTTAATTTAAAAAGTTAGCTAGGTTATTGAATGTCTAATTTTGTTTTAATAGATCTATGATTTTTAAAGTTTATGAACCGATTTGATACAAAATTGAAAGTTTTATAGATCCATTAGATACAACATTGAAATTTTAATTGACATTTTCTAAAATTTAAAGAAACAGTATGGAACATAACCTCTTCGAATTTAAAGAACAAGAATTTAATATCTATTATTTATTAAACAATCTTAAAAGTTTAGAGATATAATAAAAGTATTTATAATATTATTGACTAAAGTTGAGTTGTAATGAGCTTACTTGTAGGTTTTAGGTAGCAATGTGGGCAATGGGCCACTGAGATTATTAAAAGAGAGGTCCCTGTAACACCAAACTACGTTCAAATTAAATCAATCCCATGAAGGATAATATATAATGGTTTCTCAAAAAATTAAAAAAAAGTTGAAGAAATTAAAAGCATTTACTACTTACATTAATGCGAGCTGAGTCATGTTGGCCAGTGATGAAGGGATTGTCCCAGAAAGACTGTTGTTATTCAGCCGCCTGCAATCCCATCCCCAAACCAAATTATAATATATAAATAAATTAATAAAAACAAAAAAGTTTTGTCTGTTGAAGAAGAAACTTACAGATATTGCAGACTTCTAAGATGGGAAAGAGAGGTTGGAATTTGGCCATGGAAGTCATTGCTTGAAAGATCAAGAGTCTCCAGATTTGGTATGTTCCCAACCTCCCATGGGATTCCTCCTGATATATTATTGTCTTGTAGAAGCCTGTAATATCATTACAATAATCAAGAAGTATTCTTTTAGATATATTTTGTAGTTATTCTCTGATCTCGTAGTACCGATAAAGATAATAAATGATCACTCAATCCAAAAGCTTAATATATAGATATTTCAACTCAACACACTCAAATAATATATCCTGAAGGTACGACTCACATTGATTGGAGATTCGTCAGGTTTCCGATGCCCGGTGACAGGCTGCCGGACAAGTTTTGACTTGGAGCTCCTCTGCAAGTGAATCACAAATTTATTCATACAAACGCTTAGCATGTTTGGTAAATATGTTATTTTTGTTTCATAAATTTTAAAAATAATCTAAATTGAAATTTGAAAGCTAGTTTTATAATAATGAATTGGTTTGGTTTGAGTAGTAATTAAACTCACAAGCTAATGACGAATTTATCAGGAGAACAAGTGATCATGGTCCAGCTACAAGGATCCACGGCGTTTTCGTCCCAATTAAGAACCGAATGTGGGTCTTTCAGAGCAGCTTTAATGGCCATCAGGGCTTGCACTAGAATTCACAACAAACAAACCAACAACAAAAAAAATCTATCTTTAGATTAATATTATGAAAATATGATTATGGGGAACAAGAAATCAAAAAGAATCAAATAATGATTAACAGTACCTTCAAAGTTGACACCTTTTGCAGTAAGCAAGGCATTTACAGAAGAATTCCATACGCAAAACAAGAAGAAGAAAATGGAAGATTGCGTTGTAATTCCCATGAGATGATGTTTGTGAAGAAGATGAGAAGTTGGGTTTTGGTTTTATGAAGAGCAAGTAGAGAGCAGGTAGAAGAGGAATGTGAAGTGCTCAACACACAACCAACTTTCCAACTGATTTGTTGGTATGTTTTTTTTAATATATATTATATATTTTTGGGTAAAATTGGAAAGGAAAAGGAAATTAAGGAGTTGATCATTTGAATCTCACATGGTTCCCTTCCCATATCAAACCAGAAATTCACTCACTTGTATTCAAAGTGGTGATCTCTAATATGTCAGAAATAGAAAAAAAAAAGAAAAAAAAGGGTTTTTGGTTTTGGTGGTAAAAGGAGAGGCCAACATGCCAACCACTCCCTCAGTAAAGTGGAGAAAAGAATATGGAAAAGCTAAGTGCCATTGCCAATGCCAAGCTTAGCCAATATATTGTTTTAGAATACTTTTCAAACAAAAATTCCTTCAATCATGCATCAGTTTGAAGAGGATTTGTGTGGGAATTCCCAAAGTTAAAAATATTCTCCATCACATTAAAAAAAAAAAAAAATTAAATCTAATTTATTTTAATGGATGGTTCATTAGTCCAAAAGATTAGGATAAAAGTAGGAGGGAATGAGTTCAACCTCCATCATATAATCACCTACCTTGAGAATTAATTCCTACGTGTAAGTCCTATTTTAAGTGTATAAAAAAAATAACTATTTTCATCCTGAATAATACTTATCTCTCCTTGGTATTGGTCCTCTTGACCACCATTGTGTCTTTTATGAGTGGGAGGAAAAAAGAGAAGTGAGATTTTTTTTTTTGCTTTCAACAAAATAAATAGATGTGAAAATTTTAACGTTATCTAGTCAACTTATATTATGTAATTTCATGAATGAGCAACCTACTTGAAAGTATATTATCTCTTTATTTTAAAAGTTTAGGGATCCACATGAAAAAACTTCGAAAGTCTAGGGACTAAAACGAGATCAAAAATGTTTTTTTTTTAATAATAAAGAAAAAGTATAAGGAAACAAAGTGAGATAAAGATGGTGAGATGGTACCATTTTAGCAGTGTGAAAGTGTTATGTCCAGATTTAGTTTGTGGGCCCCCAGACATTTTCTTTTTGCTGTCTGATAACAGTGTTGGAATTGCTTTTGTTCTTCCCACAATATAATCCATAATTCCCCACAAAATTTAAACCCTAAAAATAACATTTTCCAATTTCCTCTCTCTCTCTCTCTCTCTCTCTCTCTCTCTCTCTCTTACTTTTAAAATTAAAATTAAAAAAAATAAAAAAAGGTTATATCTCAGTTGGGTTTGCTTTATTGATTCTAATGCACTCAACCTGTCTACATATCCATTCTATAAAACAATCCAAAAGCACTTACTTTTAAAAGCAACACACTCTCTCTACTTTTAATTTTTTATTTTTTTTAATGTGGGTCCTCGATTTTGGAGGGCCAATTTCAATTTTCAGTTCTTATCAAAAGCAGTGTGATGAGGATCGGACGGCTGAAATTTAACTTGCGAATTATTCCATTATTATTATTCAACTGCCAGCTGATTATTCAACATTTTTGTAAAAGCTATTTGACCAAAGTCAACCAATAAAGAAAGTATTTTTTCTAAAATTTCATCACAAATCTAGTTAGCATGCGTATCTTATAAGCTCATTAGATTTCTCCATATTTTTGACGTGAGATCGTTAACAACGATGATAATCTTTTTTTGTTGGAGATGTTAGTACAATAATCTCTTCTCTAATTTTCAAACATAAAGATTTGTAAGAGTTCAGAGTTTGAAATTTTTATTTTTTACCTAAATAAGTAAACACGGAGAGGAACGTTATTTTTATATAAATAGTTATTTACAGAATAAATAAGAAAAAAGACTACAAATTGATGGTGGCTTCGTAGACTTGAAAGTCAAGCCGAGTCAAATCAAAGTCCAATTGAATTATTTCAATGTATAATCAGTTCTATGCTTTGTAGAACAAAGAATTAGTAGCAAATAGCAATAGGTTTAAAATAACTACTTTTTTTAGGTGTGTTGTAATATTCAGAAACTTCAACATCTTTTCTGAAAACAATCATTTAGTGACTTTAATGATGTCATAAATAAAAATCATAAAATTGTTCATAGATTTCTTTTTTATTGTTCATTGATTTAATTAATATGTCTCTTGTGATTATGATTAGTGATTGGAAAATGGATGACAAAATTTCCTCCATTTTAATCTTTTAATTTAACAAGTATATAACATACTACCCTTTGAATTTCATTCAACCAAATATTTTTATTTTGTTTAAGCTATTATCCAAACCAAAACTTATCAAAAGCTTTAAATTGCATTACTTAATTTAAGTTTATGGTAAAAATTGTAATATTTATGCAAGTCCAAATTCAATTTAGTGAAATTAAGAGCTGAGAGTAAAAAAATTGAATTTTTTCCTAAAATTTTGAAGCTACATTGAACTTTAGGTTTAAATCTAATGATTGTATAATATAAGGTAGAAGATGGAGAAGTAGATAGGATTGAAGAGAAGATGATGCAAGTCAAAACTGTATTGGAAAGAAAGTCAGAGAGAAGTAAGATGAAGAGGAAAAAGAGAGAAAAAGTCAGAACAATTAAAATGAAAAGATTATTGAAATGACACAAATAATTGAATTGAACAACCAAAAAATTTCCATTCATCTAACTCGATAAATTTCAATATCTCGTATCTCTTATTTTTTCACCACCGAAAATTTTTCTATTAAATAAATTAAGAGTGGTCCAAATGTCAAACACGAAACAGGGACCAACTCGACCAAACTGGATCCGAATAACCTTTGCTTTCTTGAAAGCGCCATGTCCAATTATTTTTTAAAAGTTTTTATAAAGCTTAAAATTACTTCTTTCGTACATATACTTTTAATATTGAGTTCATTTATTATTATTTTTTTTTTTTTACTGCATCTTTAGTTTACTCCGTTTGTTTTATAAAGTCAATGTTATAGGTTGGAAATTCCTTTTATCTAAAAAAATCTGAATTGTCCTCCGGAGAAAGTATCTTATTGTTTATAGGTAAGACTTGTAATTAAGGAATGCTATAAAACCTTACTTTTTGCTATGCTACATAAAACCTCAATTCTAATTAAGCATCGAAGTGCATGGAGTAACACTATACGTGTGTAATTTTTCTATTTCGTAGGTTTCATCAATCTTTTTTATTATAGCAAATGGGTGCAAATTGATTCGATCAAATTTTTAAAACGTTTTTATAGATAAATTATATTTTTGGTTACTGATCAATTTGAACGGTACTTTATATTTATTTGGTTTTCAAGGTTAGTTAATAATACATTATTTAATAAGTCTTTTGTATTTCCATTAAAAGAATGATTTAGTCTCTAAATTTTAGTATATAACGGTTTACTTATTAGATTTTAAATTTTTTTTAATAATTTACTTTTAATCATGAAAAAATATTGTCTCTTTTTTAATATATTGTGATAAATATTATTAATAATATTACATAGGTTTGACAACAGCCACTTAGATTTCATTGATTCGTCAATTTTTTTTTTGGACAAATGTGGTTTGGGTGGTTGTCACTTAAAATACATGAAAAATTTCAAGAAAGCAACTATAAATTATTACAAATTTTAAACTGCAGCCATGAAGATTATTATCTACTAAAATCCAAGATAAAATTAATCATTACAAATTTAACCATTGAACTTTTCTTTTTTTTTTAAACAAACTAAACCCATTCAATTAAAGTATTGAGGCTAAATGTGCTTTTAAAATTTACCCAGTTTTCAGAACTTGTCCTTTAAATCCCAAGATTCCAAAAATAAATCTAAATCTATTATTTTTTCACATTAGCTACACTGAATAGATTAGATTTTGGAGTTTGATTCAACAAGCAATTAATTAGGCTAGCTAGTTAGAAAAATACCAACCTAAATCAATCTCCAAAAAATTCATTCGAAAGTAACTATTAAATCACGCCACGCTATCCAAAATCTCATCTAACAAAAAAATTCCTACCCCCAACTTAAAGAATTCCACGCATTTCGAATGTAGTTACATTAAAAGCAATACCAACTACTAAAAACTAACACATATAACTAACGTATCACTAATGCATCAAATGCAAACTTTCTTATAAATTCAAGTCGTCATAACATTTTACAACGACTCAAAAGAGACAAAACCCACCTCTCACAAAACCCTAATTGCATTCAAAGAACTACATTGTGATGGATCATTTGAATCTCAAAGTGTTTTCTTAAGGTTGAAGTTGGTAGCTTTACTTCCACTTCCACCAACTCCCCTTTGTTTGCAACAGCAGAAAGCAAGACATTCAACCGAAAGGAAAGAATTTGGATATATAAGAGAGAGTCAAAAAAAGAAAGCAACATTATATTATATGCCATGCAATGCACCCAACTCCCAATCACTGCCCAATTATTGTTCCCTTTTCCCCATTTCAAAACCACTGTTTTGTTATCAACAATATTGTACAAAAACCCTAATCATTTTGTCTTCTAAATAATTTACCCAAAATAAAAAGAATGAATAGACATTTTGCTTCTGAATTTTTCTTTCTTCCCCTTCCCCTTCCCCTTCCCCTTCCCCACCAACTCTTTTTTTGGGTATGCTAAAATATATACAGAATAATTCATGGGTTTTGGCTAAGATTCTCTCATATGTACGTTTCAATGCCTTTACTTTCATTTTAATTTTCATTTTTGGGCAAAACTAYGAGACAAAATTTCACTTCAAACTCATTCATTGGTTGATGGCATTAACATTTTCAGACTAAAATGCCAATCCTTTGGATTTTAGTGGAAATTCAGGACAAGATAATGGGACACCACACACGCAAAATAATAATAATATTTTTCTATTTTTTATAAAGGAATTATTAAAAGTACATGTTTTGATATTCCTTATATTTTTAACCACTATTTATTTGAGATGAGGGAGATGAGAATAAAATTTCGTGTAAGAATAATTCATTATAACAAGAATTTAATCTAAAGTAGGACAAAATTTTATTACATATGTGTCACTCATTGTTAGGTACAAATCTTAGGAACCTTATTTTCAAAATAGCTATATATCTTGGTCTTAGTTTAAAATTTGGTGAAAGATAATTTTCTTGATTATTCTGATCTTCTTAGGAATGTCTTTTTGTATTAATCTTTGTTGGTAGGCCACATTTAGAAATAAAAGTATCTTTCTAGTTAAATTATTATATGCATTAAAAATATTAATAAGTTGGGGAAAATTATTTATTTTTTTGTTGATGAATATATCTACCAATCCAATATATTTTTAAATTAGAGTTTAATAAATTTCTCATATTAAAAAAAATAATTATAAATATAACAAAAGATATAAAGTATTTATCAATTAACTAATGATTGTTATAATCATTTGATCAATTCGCTCCATCGTTGATAATATTTTTAAAAACATGAAATTATTTTCAAAAAACGTTCATCACTTCCTCACTTTAATTAATTTTTATGTTGATGAAATCGATCATCTTTCTTTTCACCTTTGCTTCCTCGAATCAATAAAAAGAAAAAAGAAAATGAAAAATGGTTATGCTTTTGTAGTCCTATCAAAACTAAAGGAGAAAAAAGAAAGACACAGCCTAGCTGCCTTTTAAATCCTTTTGTTGAGACGTGACAAAAGGCAAACTTTGCTTTGAATCTAAAAGCAAAATAATAATAATAATACTAATAAATAATAAATAATTAAATTAAAACCACGTTTTAACACACTTATCTAATTGGAATTATTTAATGTCTCTCTTTCGAAGACAATGTTTTTTCCACACGATTCTTTCTCAAAATAATTTGATTTAACGTTGCATCAAAGAAAGTTAAATTGGAAAGAGAAGAAAAAGAAAATTAAAGCTAGAAATTAATTGGACTCCAAAGATATGTTTGTCTATCTAAAAATCCTAATGATCTGAAAACTAATGAAAAGTTGTAATTAGGAAAATTGAAGAGTCATAAAGACACCGTGTAATCCAGTTCATGGCATTTTTATTTTTATTTTTATCTTAGTCCTATTTAGAATTTATAAAAGTAAAAGATATGTTTAAAATATGAAAGCCTAGTGAGCTCAAGCTGGGCCTCTGGCTTCACGGCAAAATTAAAGCCCAAAAGATTCGTTATATTTCAAATTGGGCCTTGTACAAGGAATTGATGGCCCCTTTTCGGTTCAAGTTCGACGTCAACGTTTAGCTTGATGGCAAAAGAATGAAAAAATAATATTTATCTGTGGCTGCTGGGATTCGAGCCCAGGTCTCTACGGCCACAACGTAGAATTCTTACCACTAAACTACAGCCACATTTTGATTTAAAATGACCAATAAATTATATTATTATATTATTAGTCGGTTATACCCTGCAGGTTCAGGGCTAGGGACCGGAGCCTGGTGAGTTACTCTTTGATTGCATCTTATTTTTGGCCGTCTTCCTTCTTCTTCAGAATTCTCGTTCAAGCTGACATAGAGGTAAAATAAAAATAAAAGTAAATAAAAAAAAAGGAACCGTTGATATTATTTACTCGTCATCTTCAACGTCGATATAGATGACTTCGTGGACGTCGTCGGGTTGGTTGTTGCCACCGTCTCTACCACCGCCATCACCAAACAAACAGATGAGTCGTTCATTACAAATCGAAAACTCTCAAATTGAGATAAATAGACTTATCAATTATAGAAATCAGTTTRTGGGAATGACCATCTTTTACAGGACGACTCGTCGTCTGTGGAAGGCAGTCATTCCCACGAACGGATTTCTTGTCTACTTATATTAGYYCGTGAGTTTTCAATTCTGTAATGAGTGGCATAATATGTTCGTTTCGCGATCTTCTCCTCCATTGCMAAGTCTCCGAACAAGTCTCTAAGGTCGGCCCGCTCATCGGGCAGATGATTCCCGGCCATAAGATAGAATTGGATAGAAATTTGAAGAAAAAGAAAGACTGAAGGATTGTTCTAACATATTTTTCTTATGCTCTCCCTCACCCACCTTTTTCATTGTTTTGTTATTGACTCAATATCAGGGTATTTTGCCCTCCCTCTGATCACGCCATTTTCATGCCCTCACAAAATTTTCTTTTGTAGAAATACTAATTACTAAGTATTTTTCTTCATTTATTTGCACACTTCAAACAAATATTACACAAATGTAAATATTTTAACTTCAAACTTCACTCACACTAATTAAAGATACTAATTTTCTTGTCACATTTTGTCTGGGTTCTTTCTATTGCTTTTTTGCCTTGTGTGACATAATTCAAGATACTAATTTGGAAAGTTTAATAAACATATTTTATAAAAAAATCATACATAATTCGAGAGTTCAAGAAATAATTTAAGTCCTATTTGCTAAAATTACAAAGTTTTATTTTCTAAAAATCGAAAACAAAATTTATGAAATGAACTCTTTAATATTTAATCATTTTCTCAGCTGGCTTAACTTTGAAAATATTGAAAAAAAAAATGTTGCCTTTTTAGGAGGACAGTATCATTTTATGTAGTAAAAAGTTTCTCTAATAAATTGTCAATTATTATTTTGGAACTATTCTTTTTGTCACCGGATAAATTATGGTTGGTTTGATATGCAATTCGAATTTTTTTTCTTTAGATTAATTGAATCCAATATATTCCGTGAATATCTATTTGAGATTTTTGTTTTAATGTTTTCCGATCTTGAATGTGAAACTTATGCAGAATTGCATTAAAAAATGATAAAAGATACTATAAATTCGTTTCATTTTTATCCAAATTAAAATATGTAAAATATAATATTTTATAAATTATATAATATTGTAAAGTAATAATTCTACAAAACTTAAAATATATATGTTAATAATTTAATAATTATTATTTTATATTTAACTTAACATTTAATAATAACAAACGTATTACTAAACATCAGATTTTTAAATTAATATTCAATTTCAAAATCTACAACTAAATACAAGTCTGAAAATATTAAAAACATGAAATACAACTTTATTGAATCCATTGTTTTCAAATTACCAACCAAATACACCTTTAGATACTCAACTGTAAAGAGATGATTAAACTTCTAATCCACCAGATGTTTTATTCTAGAACTCATGAATCTCTTTCTCAAGATTAGAACCTCCTTACTATTATCATAAAATTCCTTAAAAGAAGTTGGTTTTTCAATTGAAAATTCTAAACTATGAATGGTTTTTCAATTGAAAATTCTAAACTATGAACTCCCACTCCTACTACGAAGAAAAAACTTTAAAAAGTTTCTAACTGAAATAAACCCTTTGAAAGGTTTGAAAATTAGATCCTAAATATAGAGGAAGGTCATATAAATTAAATGCCATCCCTAACATTTAGTTTCCTAATACCTTTTATCTCATTGGGTCAAACTCATAGGCCGTTGGAGAATAATTCTCTTTTTTTAGTTACACATTTTCAAAAATTAAACTAACTTGCTTAATGGTGTCTAAGCTTTTACTTAAAAAAAATATATAAAATGAAGCGTTATTATTATTTATTTATTTATTAGTATAGATAAGTGATGTTAAGGCAGCTCACTAAAGTTATTTTGATAGGTATCTATCTGTGTCATTAAAAAGGATGCAAATCAGTTGGCATATGTAATCGCATGCTATCTTTTAGAAAGTGCCGACTCAATGGTTTTAGGGTCTGCCTTAGATTTCTGTTCGTAGTTTCTTCTTCTTCGTTTTGTTATTAAAAAAAAAAAAGAATAGTTATTTTGAATTGGGTTGAACTGAGTTTATATTCCGTTGTACTATGTTATTGAGACTATTCCCTTCTTTTCCTTACTAAAGCTCTTCAATAAAAAGGTTTGTTGTATTTGTAATTGATTTTGAGAAATCATGATAAGTTTTTTGTATTCTCCCCTTGGGTTCCATTTACAAAACGGATATGGTATCAGTGTCTAAAACGTTCAGACAACCATCCGATCAAAAATTGGGATGCAACCAAGATCGATGGGCCAAAAGAGCCACGATCTTAAGGGGCATGTTAAGGATTCACATTGATAGAATGAGGGACCTTACATAGGTTTATAATAAATATAGGCTACTCTTCTCATTGCCAATTGGTTTTGAGATGGAATCCATGAATATTAATATAGTGTCAGAGCTCCCTACTTTACAGAAATTGAATGTTTCAAAATACTTATAAGAGACTTGCTGATATGACAATGGAATAATAACAATAGAGTATCATGTCAAATTTGTAATAAATTCAGGCATACTGCGTAGCGATTAGATAACTTCATTGTTGGGCATTAGTATTCAGAATCAAATTCATGTGGGCAATGGAGCAGGTTTGGATATTTTACATACCGATGGTTATTGTGTTTCCTCTTAAAGCAGAAAAATCTCATTAGAGTTAAGTCAATTTTCTAAGGATAACCATGTCTTTGAATTTCAGTAAAACTCTTGTCACAGACTTCTGAATAATCGTAATCGTAGTCCTATTTAGAATTTATAAAAGTAAAAGATATGTTTAAAATCTGAAAGCCTGGTGAGCTCAAGCTGGGCCTCTTGCTCCACGGCAAAATTGAAGCCCAAAATATTCGTTATATTTCAAATTGGGCCTTGTACAAGAAATTGATGGGCCCTCTTTCGACGCCAACRTTTAGCGTGATGGCACAAATGAAAAATTAGTACTCATTGTGGCTGCTGGGATTCGAGCCCAGGTCTCTACGGCCACAACGTAGAATTCTTACCACTAAACTACAGCCACATTTTGGCAAAAGAGTGGCCAATAAATTATATTACACTATTTTATTTACAGAATTTTCTTCAGAACGAGAAAAGGTTGATTCCGACGTCGTTTAGGATATTCGATTCGGTGTTATGGAAAAAGAAAACAGGAGTCGGTTATACCCTGCAGGTTCAGGGCGGGAGAGATACAGGTGGCCGGAACCAGTTCGCGCGCTCTCTAAGAGTCTCCGCCGGATCGTTCAATCGCTTGGATTCATACTTGGTGAGTTACTTTTCGATTGCATCTTATTTTCGGCTGTCTTCCTTCTTCTTGAGAATTTTCGTTCAAGCTTTTGGTATGTATCTATAAAATTTCTATCAAAATTTCAAAATATAGGCTGTTTTCTTTGTTGTGTACTATGTCGATTTCAAGGCTGTAACTCTTCTGCTTCACTTTGTGAATTTCGTCTCAATCTCTGCTCATCACTCTACTAGGAGTGTTCTTTAAAACACCTATTTAATGGATATTGAGTTTTCGTCGTCAACACATGGAATTTTGAACCAAGAGATCACCACTCGATCATCTTAGGTTTTTTCCTCCTGATTGTTGGCAGGTTGTGTTTCGAGCGGATTGAGTTTCTGAAACAGTGAAAGAAATGGGTTATATCGGAGCACATGGCGTGGAGGCTCTAGGGAGATACAAGTACCGGGGTGAGGATCACTCTTTTGTGGCCAAATATGTCTTGCAGCCCTTCTGGAGCCGCTTTGTGAATTTTTTTCCTCTTTGGATGCCGTAAGTGTCTCATCTCTTATGGCGTGTTTCTGCATGCTTTCCTTTACAAACTTTAGTTAAATATTTGGCTTATAAATCCAGCCTCTGGCGTTTCCCATTTAGTTTGTTCTGGATTTCGTTGCTTGTGAAGTTTTCATGAATTGTTGGGCTTGTGAATTTTGGAAATGGTTCTTTTCCACCGATAATGCTGACTTCTTGTTTCTCTTTGTTTGCTCTGTGAGGACCTCTTCAGCCCAAACATGGTGAATTGATCTTACATCTAGCACTGATTTGTCATTTTGACCATCCAATTTTATGGACTTGCCTCTTCTTATTTGTACTACTTTATGGCAGATAACTTTTGCAGGATTCCTGTTTTTGGTCACGTCTGCACTGCTTGGCTATGTGAGTGTCCATCAATTTCTAGATTACTTTTTTTTTCTCTCTAATTTTCTTTGAACGTTAACTCAACCTTTTTCTCAGTGCAGGTAACTATTGTTTATTATCTTTGCAACAATTAGTTACACTTTTTTGTTAAAATCGAGCTCAGAAAATTAAAATGTGGATTTTGGAATTTTGCTTCCTGCTTTTTTTTTTTTTGTCATGAAAAAACGGATATTTTGTGAAATTGATTTTTTGCAAGATAAATACCAATATTGAAAATTTTTCACTTTAATGTATTTTCTATTTTTTGTTTAAGGTATATTCGCCTCATCTTGGTTCAGCTCCACCTAGATGGGTTCATTTTGCCCATGGGTTACTCCTTTTCTTATATCAGGTATGGATCGGTTCTTATTCATTCTCTATCATGGTTTCCCTGTGCTTTGCCTTAATATAATATAAATTGTTCAACGCTAATCTTTTACTTGCATGCTAGACTTTTGATGCTGTTGATGGAAAACAAGCAAGAAGAACAAATTCTTCAAGTCCATTGGGGGAACTTTTTGACCATGGTGATATGCCCTTTTCATATAATTTTGTTATTTTTTTTTACTACTTTTAGATGTGTGATTAATATTGACAGATGATGTGTTTTCTCCTTTCCATATATGTTCTCTCAGGATGTGATGCACTTGCATGTGCGGTTAGTATCTCTTCCCTCAGTCTTCGACTCATCGTTTGAAGTACCTACAATGCCATTTTTTGAAAGTTGTTTTTAATTTCTTTTCAGTTTGAAGCCTTAGCTTTTGGAAGCACTACCATGTGCGGAAGGAATACTTTTTGGTTATGGGTAATTGCAGCCGTTCCTTTTTATGGTGCAACATGGGAACAGTAAGTAGTCAGTTGTCAACTATCTGTGCTTTTATTTACCCCTCCAGATCCTGATTCCTATGGAGTCCACAAGTATAAATTACTGGAAACTGTTAGCAATTTGATATGGCCTTGTTTAGTTGTTTGTTAAATGCTTGTAGTTGATGCTCCAATCTGCATCATGTAGGATATCCTGTATGCATGAGAATCTTGTTTTGAATGTTGATCCCAATGTAGGTCTGCAGACTGTTGACTTCTTTTTTCTTCTATTCCTCATTCTACCCTGTTTTATGCAGTTATTTCACCAATACTCTTATTCTTCCTACTATAAATGGGCCTACAGAGGGTCTTATGCTGATCTATGTATCTCATTTTTTTACATCATTTGTTGGTAAAGTCCTATTTCTCTTTTCATTCTCTACTTCTTTGCTTACAATTAGCATTATAGATCTCTGTATGAAGCAATTATGACTTAGTTTCTTAACTTTCCAGGTGCTGAGTGGTGGGCTCAACCACTTGGAAAATCCATACCATTTTTTAGCTGGGTTCCACTTTTTCATGGTAACTCTATGGTTAACGTCATCATCATTTGCCCATGGCCTGTTAAATTTAGCACGTAATGGATCTTCTCTGAAATATACACACTTTCAAGCAGCATATATTTAAATGCTTTAGTATTTTATGATGTTCTTATTTTATTTGCCGTTGCACCTTTATGCTAACAGTTCTGTTAACATTGTCCAACTTTAATGTTATCTGGATAGTTTTGTTGTGCTTTTAAATTCGATCATGTCTGTAATACTCTTTAAGAAATTTTTGTTTCGAAGTATGACACTGTTTTTCTTGATACCATAATGAATTGGATTGGTTTGCTTGACCTGGAGGGTCTGCCCTGCTTGATTACTGCCGATGTTTCATTTCCTTTACCTAACTATGGTTGAAGCCTTATATTTTTTCTTTTGAATGTTAGATATTGCGACGATTGGTGTTGTGATGTTACTAATGACAGCTTTTGGTGTTATTCCAACTATTACATTTAAGTAAGCACTCAATCTACTAATTTTGTTAGCAATAATGTAGCATCGAATGCAAGGAAATACAGTGGAAAGATGCTTTTGAGGGCTTCCAGATACCAGAACTTAAAATTTATACCAATAGCATAAGCCCATATACAGCTTAATGTTGAAAAGAGAAAGTTAGATTTAATTTACAGTACACTGTGCTTTTTTGCAGTGTGTCCAATGTCCATAAGGTTGTTCAGGGAAGAAAAGGAAGTGCGTTTCAAGCATTTGCAATGGTAATAGCTCAAAAAGCGAAATTCTATTTTCCATGTTTCTTCCTTCATATAATTTTCCCAGTTTCCTTGGTTATTTGATTGTTTAACAATGCCATTGTTTTCTTCTCAGCTGTGCCCATTTGCTGTTCTCCTTGGTGGCGTCCTGGTGTGGTATGAACTGGAGCTATTGGACGTCGAACTTTTTCTCCCTACATGTATTTTTTGTTCCTTTATGATGAACCTTTATTCTCATGTAGGGATTATTTGTCTCCGTCAGACCTCATAAAAAACTATCCTCATTTGGTTCTCACTGGAAGCGGCCTTGCTTTTGGATTCTTAGTGGTAAGTCACCTTCCCCCTTCTTTAGATAATATGATAGCAGGCTAGCAGCCGCCTATCTGTATGCCTATTAACCTTGAAGTTAATACTGCCGGTACAGTTAGCTCAATTTGGACAGCATTTAAAAAAGGATCCCTAGAAAAATGATTTCGTCAAGTCTGTTAGCTGATTTTATTTGTGTAGGGTGCATTACCCTTTTTTGTGTGTGTCTATCCTAATTGGTGGCTCTGTTTTTAGAACCCCAAATGTCAGACCAGTAAAAATTAGAACCTTTTTTTGCAGGGAAGAATGATCCTTGCTCACTTATGCGATGAACCTAAGGGCTTGAAAACTGGAATGTGCATGGTATGCGGCACTGACACTTATATGTTAGGCACTGTTTGTAGTTTAACACTACATTTATTTTGTTCTTGTGTTTATTGCATACAGTGTTATGTTGTCTTTGTGCTCATTTTTTTCCCTAGAGGATTCATCATGTTCATTTATCTTGTAG